TTCAAAAAAAATTTTGTCAGATTTTAGAGTTGATGGGAAAACAAAAAGTCTTAGAGTAAAATTGTAACACAGGCCTTCAAAGAGCATGGCTCTTTCAGTGGTTCCCTGATGGTTAAGTTTGATTTTTTATGTTGGAGTAAGCAGTGGTATTACAGGGGCAATTGAGAGTCATAGAATAAACATGGTGCGTCTTCTTGAAACTTTAATTTTATTAGAAATTGTGGGAGGATTTTATATTAAGACAAACATGCATGTATGATACAGTAGACTGAAAATCAGTCAAGATTTTTAAAGACATGGAATAGAACTTGAATTTCATGCTGGTGGATGAGTCCTTTGTGGAAAAGATCCTGTAGGTTCCTTATTAGAAGCCATGGAAAACTTCATGAATAATGTCGGGAATTCTATGTAGAATCATAATCCTCACCCTTGTAAGCTTTTATTAAAAAAATTTATTTTATTATTTATTTATTTATTTTTGGCTGCGTTGGGTCTTGGTTGCTGTGCACCGGCTTTCTCTAGCTGCGGTGAGCGGGGGCTACTCTTTGTTGTGGTGTGCGGGCTCTAGGCATGAGGGCTTCAGTAGTTGTGGCACGTGGGCTCAGTAGCTGTGGCTCACAGGCTCTAAACTGCAGGCTCAGTAGTTGTGGCGCACGGGCTTAGTTACTCTGCGGCATGTGGGATCTTCCCGGACCAGGGCTTGAATCCATGTCCCCTGCATTGACAGGCGGATTCTTAACCACTGCGACACCAGGGAAGCCCCCCTTGTTAGCTTTTAAGTAATATTTTCATCTTATCAAGTACATCCTGTGTGAATATCTGACATTTAATACCATGCTGGATTCTCCAGGGTTTCTTGATTCATAGGCACAGAGGAAAGGGTACCAATCATGAGATTAATCTCAGCATTTTTATTGCATACCTGTGACATACTAGGTTAAGAACGTTTTCCAAAAAAAGTTTCTTTTGCATTTGCCTTGCTAAGATAAATGGGAAGGAAGTAGGGAAGACAGGGGTGGAGGTAAATGGAAATGACAAAGCTATTTCCAATCTTTAAAGAGAAAAAGGATGGGGATGTGAGAAGAGAGTGAGAGCGTGTTCAAGAAGAAATACTTAGCACTATGCGTGCAATCTAATTAGGGTGCTCAGTGGCAATGACTTGACAAACACCAAGGTGAGTAAACACAGACAACTCCTGGGTCCAAGCCCATGTTCACGACCTCACCCCATCCTTTAGTCCCTCTTCCTGCTCAAGTTTGTAGCTAAGCAATCACAAAAATGGCAACAAAATACCAAGAACAAGTGGAAAAGGAAATGAGAATTTATTACTAGCCTCAATTTTCTTTGGGGGAAATAATGTAGATTACTCTTATGTGTGAGAGGAAGGCCCAGATTACATGATGAATCCCATCAGGACATGCAGACTGTGCAGTGGTACAACGTAGTCACTTTAGGTGTTTTCTTCTCCAGCTATGAAGGCATGAATATTGAATGGAGTTTGAGAGACAGTGAAGCTTTGTATAAATGTTAGACCTCTGGGATGTTGAAAGAGATGCATTCTAGAATATGAAGCTTCACGAATAGCTAGCCTAGAAACACCTGCTCTGCTCTGCGCTTGATCCCTGATGCTCTACCCTTAGAGCTGGGTCAGCTTGATTCTTTGAACCTTTTGAAATTGTAAGGATCCCTGGGAAGGGTGTTAACTTTTCTTGTCATCGTGTGGTTGTGAAAGTAGAAAGGAGGTTGGAATATGGCAGATGATCTTGGTTCTAGTTACAGCTCTGCCGCTGGATTTCTGTTACCATGGGCACGACAACTCTTTCAATTTCCATGACCTCATCTGTACAGAAAGAGGCTGAACTCTTTAATGAAGATCTTTAATGTTCCTTTCTGGTTCCACTTTGTATGAGTCAATGAGGAAAGAGTGTGTGGGCAGGAGCATTTAGAGTGGGGATATGGGTGAGCAAGCAGGTTTCTACCCTCGGGGCAAAGGGCCCAGAACAGAAGGTCAGGCACCCACTGCCAAATTTTCTTATGCTATTTATGTCAAGGAAAACCCCTGAGGCTATATATCTAAATTACCATAACAGTGATAAAAACTACTGTTAGTGCCTGTTCTGTGCTCCTGCTGTCTTATTACCCTTTCCCTTAAGTACTCATGACGGAGGAGAATTGCTGATGTGTGGGACCATGGCACATGCGTCTCTAAGTAGTTCTTCACTGCTACTTGAATCCTAAATCCTATAAACGTCCTTAAGAATCAGCCAGTGCTGATCTGCCCCTATGGTGCAGTGGGACAGATGTATTTATAATTATCCAGCCTATTAGTCTTACCTCATCTCAAGAATTTGCCAGGCAGAAAAGGTGACAATTGACCTGCATTGGGATGTAGCAAATTCAAGTACAAAGAGTCAAGAAGGTATGGGATACCCGGATGGAGGTGTCCAGCAGGCAACTGGAAATATGGGTCCAGGGCCAACGAGAGAGCTGGATGTAGGAGTTATTTATACACAAGATGTAGTTGGTGGCCATGACCTTCTAAAAATTTTTAAACATATTAATTGTGTATTTTATTTCTTATAGTCTACAGCATAAATTAGATGGTGTGACGCAGAACTAGAAAAAAATATTTGAAGGATTTATGTGTGTCAAAGTCCTAAACGTGGCTACTTCTGGTCAAGTGGCTCAGGAGAGGGTTAGGGCTCTAATTAGAGTGTGTCTTGATGAGAATATTTTTTGATTCTGATTGTGTTCCTCCCACACATCTCCACTTGTAGAACAGGGACAGTTCAGTCTCAGTCTCACTTGAATTGAGACAGAGTTCCCTAGGAAGTAGGAGTTTGGGCGAGGGTCTTCAGGGTCTGCAGAATGGAGGTGCAGGGGTGAGAGGTAAGCAGGATGTGATGGGGTGGGGGGGACTTGGTACCAATTTCTTCCCTGTCCTCAGGAAGGTTAGCTGCTGGGACTCCTCCCCTATTTTCCTGGCCTTTCCCAGTCTGCCCCAGTAAGCTCAGGGTCCCTTTGCAAAGAGGCTGGAGCTCTCCGGCTAGAGGTATCCTGCTGACTTAGAGACACGTGGAGATAATTAACTGGTAGATTCTGCCACAGCCTACTGACCTCCTTATGGGAACTGCTGTAAAGATAAAATGACTTACTGCTTTTTTTTTTAAATTTTTCTTAGTGTCTCTGGTACCTATACCTTTGTACGCTATAATCATGACATTTGTGTTTATCATTAGTTTTCGAGCTGAAAACATCCTCTTTTCTCCCCTCTTGATCCGGCCACAGAGCATCTGTAGTCAGGTTATCACCTTTCTCAGAAAATGCTCTCTGTAAACACCCAATGTTGGCGAGTTAGGCTGGGCCGTTTCCACACCCCTTTTTCCCCAGTACGGCGGGCACCGTCTTCTACTTCCTACTCCAGCTTGGGGAAGGATGGTTTTACGCCACGGATACCTCATTTGTCAGTGCTGTCTTCTGAATGTCCCTCCTCACATCTACTATGACAGAGCTTGAATAATTGTTTTCATTCAACCGTTTAGCCCATTACTTCTTTGACCAGAAGGCTAAACCCAAGTATCTCTGACTCCTGTGCTGTCATTAACATGCTTCTTGTTTAACTCAAAACAGCTGTTTCTCCTCCTCCCATCTCCAATCTTTCCTCCTTAGACAAACTTTGCTTATCCAGAAACTTTGGGAAAAAAGTATTTTTGAATAAACAGGAGTTCTGGAAAGATAAGGATTTGCCACTTTCAGTATGGAAGCACCTTTAATTTTAACCATTTGAATGGAAATTTCTAAAATACATTGTTTAGTACCTTCTTAAGCAAAGGACACAGAACAGGATTTAACTTTTTCTTGATGTCTTGGGATCATTACAGTGAACCAAGGTTTTGTAGTCTGCTGCCATACAGTGGGGCCCCGAGGGTCTTTTGGGGTAAAAGGGTCCTAGATTTCTGAGATTCTGAAGTCACTTTGTGAACTTTTTTTTTTATTGAAGTAAAATTGATTTACAATGGTGTGTTAGTTTCAGGTGTACAGCAAAGCGATTTGAAGAATCTGAAAAAGAATATATATATTCCTTTTTTACATTCTGTCCCATTGTAGGTTATTAAAGTATATTAAAATTTCATAAACTTTTAAATTGACTGTCTCCGTGCTTTTTATCAGGCCATTAGCTGCTGCTTCCCATTATCAATGTACCTATTTTGAGAAATTCTTTTTAAAACACTCTAATTTTCAATGTTTACTGTGAGCATAGAAGACCAATGCACTCACACACACATATACAAACTCAAGCATGGGTGCACACGTGTGTTGTATTAGAACTGTGTGTAAAAAAATTGTAAACAAGGACCTGAGAGTTTTCTATGAGTAAACTGAATAGATTGTGAGTCTTCTATTGGTTTCCCAGAGGCCATTTTTGTTAATGTTTTTGCTCATTTTAGAAATGGAAAGTTGCAAGACAAATCAGTTGGATGTTGGTAAAAAGTTACTCCTAGATTTCTAGGAGCCACCTATTTTTCTAGAAACTTCTTCCTCAGTTTCATTCTTTGTTACCTCTTCATCCTAGAGTAGGCAGCTGTCACTAAAAAGGGATTCCTTTTATGAGAGGTCCTCCATTCAATCGTCCCAACTATACATACAAACTATTTCACCGACTGTCTTTAAAAATATTATCATGGGGCTTCCCTGGTGGCGCAGTGGTTGAGAGCCCGCCTGCCGATGCGGGGGACACGGGTTCGTGCCCCGGTCCAGGAGGATCCCACATGCCGCAGAGCGGCTGGGCCCGTGAGCCATGGCCACTGAGCCTGCGTGTCCGGAGCCTGTGCTCCGCAGCGGGAGAGGCCACAACAGTGAGAGGCCCACGTACTGCAAAAAAAAAAAAAAATTATCATGATGTTTTCAAACCATTGTCATTTAAAAAAAGAAATCCACAGGTGCAAAAACAAATTGCAGCCCCTAGAGCTAAATCTCTTCCTCATTGTTCTCTTTGGCAGGGTTCTATGGAAAGCTGAGTAAATGAACAGGGCCGTTTCACAGAGTGTAACTCATACCAGTCCTATTGAGCAACGTCTTGAACGTAAGTCCTTTTCAACTAAACGGAGGTATATTTTCTTTTATATTGTTGACTTTGACGCTGCAGCTTAGCAAAGAACACTTGTGCAACATTTTCTGCATCAATTGATCATCCGCTTAGAGCAGACATGCATTTTTCTCATCATTAAAGGGAAACCAAACCCATCAACGTAATCCCCCATTCTGCTTTGTTTCTCTCCAGTCCTTCATGCTGTAAATTCTGAAATATTAATGAAGGGATGTGAAAGCAGTGGGCTCTGTTCTCACACCCAGACCCAGTGGGAGCAGGGGCAGGGAGTGAAAGGATGAGAAATGTCCTCATTTTGCAAAACAAAGTGTTTCTCCAAGCTGGGTTGTTGCAGAACAATCTGCCTCGAACTCTCCCAAGGTGCTCGTTTAAAATACAGATTCCTAGGCAGGTTCTACGCCTACTGTATCAAAATTTCTGGATGATGGGGCTTTGTGGTTTGCTTTTTTTTTGTTTGTTTTTTTTGCGGTACGCAGGCCTCTCACTGTTGTGGCCTCTCCCGCTGCGGAGCACAGGTTCCGGACGCGCAGGCTCAGCGGCCATGGCTCACGGGCCCAGCCGCTCCGCGGCATGTGGGATCTTCCCGGACCGGGGCACGAACCCGTGTCCCCCGCATCGGCAGGCGGACTCTCAACCACTGCGCCACCAGGGAAGCCCTGTGGTTTGCGTTTTAAATCAACCAGACAATGTCTTCGTTTTTGCTGACCTACCATTTTTTGTGTGTCTGACTCTTACGTAAATACTAGAAACAAACTCAGTTAAACTCAGTTAAACTTAGAGAATACTAATCGTAATTAAACTTTATTATTGTAAGCATAATACCTTTCATTTATATAGCAGCATTTAAAAAAATATTTTATTGAAGTACAGTTGATTTACAATGTTGTGTTGATTTCTGCTGTACAGAAAAGTGATTCAGTTATACACATATATATCCTTTTTCATATTTTTTCCATTAAGGTTTATCACAGGATATTGAATATAGTTCCCAGTGCTATACAGTAGGACCAGTTGTTTATCCATTCTATATGTAATAGTTTGCATCCGCTAATCCCAAACTCCCAATCCATCCCTCCCCCACGCTCACTCCCCCTTGGCAACCATAAGTTTGTTCTCTATGTCTGTGAATCTGTTTCTGTTTCATAGGTAAGTTCATTTGTGTCATATTTTAGATTCTACATAGAAGTGATATCATATGGTATTTGTGTTTCTGTTTCTGACTTACTTCACTTAGTATGATAATCTCTAGGTGCATCCATGTTGCTGCAAATGGCATTATTTCATTCTTTTTTATGGCTGAGTAGTATTCCATTGTATATATGTACCACATCTTCTCTATCCATTACTCTGTCAATGGACATTTAGATTATTTCCACATCTTATTATAAAGATAAGGCTATTATAAATTACTATATAGCAACTTTTTTTTACCCTTTCAAAGTGTTTTCCTATATGTAAACCTCTGAGGCAGGCAGGGGAGGTATTATTACCCCCATTTTAGAGACATAATTGAGTTCCCTGTGGCTTAATGACTTGGGCAAACTGTGGTGGGACTTAGCCTGAAGTCAGGACTGGCTTGCAAGTCTTCTAGCCTTATTTCACTGCACATTTGGTACTGTAAGACCCAAAATACAGAGAAAGCTTATTAAAGTGTCCCTTCATAATAGAGCTGAGCTGAAATCAGTGCCTTCTGTGCTCCTCCACATGCTGCTGAGAATGCTATGCGTCTACTCCTAAAAGATGAAAGCCGAGATGGAGCCCTGGGCACCAGTGAGTGATGGGAATCTTCACAACAAAGAAAATCTCATTCCTTTTTTGTTCATCCCCTTCAATTTTCTGATCTTTTTCCTCCACTCCTTCTTTCTTGTAAAGACTCAAACTCTGAAATAATTATATGAAATTAAGTCGGTAAAAACCGGGCTTGTTTCCTTAAGATTGATGTGTTAACATTCGGGGCAGTTTTCTCAGGACTCAGAGAGACTAGTATTTCTGAACTTGGCTTCAGGAGTCTTCCTCTTACCCAGGCAGGGTAGAATCTCCACCCCCCAAAACTGTGTTTCTTCATTCCACAAGCCCTCCCTCCACGATGCAGCCTGGCTGGGAGCAGAATGAAGGTAACAATGTTTTTAGGTGCTCAGGTGGTCATAACCACCTACGGCAGAGAGAGTGAGACTGAATTCAAATGGAGGGTTTCTTTGCACCACGTTGGACACTGAGGTTTGATTCTTCAGGATGGCATGCCCCAGACTCTGGGAGTCTGGAGGAGGTGAGGGAAACACTTTCCAGCTCTACCTGCCTGTTCTTATCTCTGTATCAAGATAAGCAAGCTAGTTGGTTGTAAGCCAAAATAAAGTTTGTCATGCAAAATGTATCGCTCTTTAAAAAAGTAATAACGGTAAAAAAGAGCAACCCTGCCTGTCACTTTCCCACTGTGTGCAGAAAATAAATGAAAGATGGAAAGACCCCTGGGCTTCTTTGTATTGGAAAATGGCTTGTGTGCTCAGTGCTGAATTTCTGTGTTCCTGAGGCTGCCCTGGAGGAGAGGAGTGGGGTCAGGTTCAGGAGGTGCCTGCTTGCCTTGACACATCATTCCTAATTATGACGCCTTTGTAAACCCCTTCCCTTTCGCTTCACAGGGCTTGTAAAAGGCACCCACAAACGTCTGCCTTCCTGTGCCTCCCTGCCCCGAGGTAGAAATCCTCTTTTTGCAGGAAGTGCGGAGCAAAGTTCAAAGCTTTCTCCATCAAAAGAAAGTGCGGCCTGATCCAGTGTAACGTGATTATGTGACAATTAGGCCAAAAATAAAGAGTCAGGGCTACTGCATCGCTGGCTAGAGCTGGTTCCTTGCAATCTTCACCTTTCTGAGAGATATTTATCACTTCCCTGTTCAGTAGAAAGGCGCACCCCCAAACAGTACACTATTTAGGGCCAAAGTAACTGGTAGCTTTGGGCTCTCTGGGACGGAGAGTTTTAAAGAGGTTGTGATGAAATGTCCCCACCAGATGCAGAGGCCATTAGATGAGCTTGAGGGAGAGAGGACAAAGAAAAAAGCGAGGGTTTGCAGACCCTGGGGCAGGCCCTGTGGCTCTGGTGATCTTCCTCATGACTGCCAGGCTTGTTTCCTTGCTATAAAACAAGCTCAGGGGAAGAGAAACGGGAACATATGTATATGTGTAACTGATTCACTTTGTTATAAAGCAGAAACTAACACACCATTGTAAAACAATTATACTGCAATAAAGATGTTAAAAAATAAATAAAAAATAAAGATATATTAAAATGTATAAAAAAACAAAAAAAACAAGCTCAGTTCAACCGGTGTTAGAAGAGGGTTAAAAGAGGTCATAAATCTTTCTGGGCATTGAAGATCCACGGAGAACTCAGCCTGATGTCTTTTACATCTGTTTCGGGTTCTCAGCCTCATCTGGCTCAGCTGCCTTTTCTCCAGCGATAACTCACAAGCCCCATTCAACCCCGCTGAGTGGCAGGTATAGGGTGTCACCCCTCAGAGCACTGAGGATGAGGGCTGAGCGTCCGGGCAGCCGCCAAGCCCCCAAGGCTGGCCCGCTGACACCGTAAGTCTATACCCAGGGGCCGGTGGAGGGGAGGCCGCGGGACTGACGGCGTAAGCGGGCAGCGCACACACACAGGCTGGAGAGGGGAGCCGGCGGCGGGTGGGAGAGCGCTGGCTGAGGTTGGTCACACGGAGATTGAATTTCAGCCGAACTAGATCAGAGCTGTGGGAAACCACCTTCTTCACACACAGCCGTCTCCTAGGAAGATGTGGGAGGGCGGCTGTGGAGACAGAGGCAGGCAGCTGCGGTGCAATCCCGAAGTCAGCTCAGCTCGCAGCAGCTCGCAGCTGACTTTACTGTCTCCCTCTCCCCAGACGTCGTGGACTCTGGGGTTTTAGACTGAAAGGCTCCACAGTGTCAGGCAGAGATGGGGCGGTCAGCATTGAAAACACACCGTGGTTTGGGAGTGCTGAAAGGAGGGAAATCATGCTGTGTGTCTTTAAAGGAGGGAAAGCATGGTGATGGAAGTATGGGAAAGGCAGGGAACTTTTAGGTCCACACTTGTACAAGGCAAACTCCAGAAGGGATTTTGGTGGCTTTAACCCGTACCTTTAGGGTTTGATGTTTGATGGCATTTCATTAACGTGCAACGTGACCTTTCAATACCATAGCTGTGTTTGCTGCTACGAACTGCTCCTCTAATCTCCTGTCTCTGCTTGATAACCTAACGCCATTTCAGTGACCCAGAATACCAGCTTTTCTAGGGGAGGCATTGGAGGAGTGGAAGATTGGGGGAAAGTTTTCAGATTAAAGCGGGAACACTTGCAGTCCTATTAAAAAGGCAAGAAGTCAGCATCTTTGAAATCCACCCCCTCCGCAGGGGCGGGGAAATCCTCTCCCGGAGACAGTGGGAACACACTTGTTCCTAAGCTGGCACCAGAGTGGCTTTCTCCAGGGCAGCGAGGGCCTGGCACTCTGTCCAAGCCATTTGAATCCAGGAGCCTTCAAATGGTCCTTTTTTCTTTTCCTGTCACTCAACAAGAGGCTGGAGGCAAAAATTCGGCCAGCAGCTTCCCCTGACCCAGGCAAAAAACAGCCCGAGTCTTCCCAGAGCTCTGTAATCTTCTGGTTTGAACATCAATTTCAAGCTCACTGCTGCTGATGAGAAAATGACCTTGAACCATTGCTCACTGAATATCCCATGTTTTTTGACCATGCAGTGTGCTTCCTGTATAATGATCCTTTTCTTGGACTGAGAAGTTTCTGGAGTTTGCACAATGTGTGGGCCCAAGGAAACAGGCCAGGGTGTCCCCAGTGGGATGGATTGTCACCCCTCAGTAAAAGAGAGAAACATGCAGAGCAGAGACAGAGTTTGCTGTGCAGGATCCAACTCAACGTCTGATTTCTCAGGCGCTCGCTGCTTTATTGGATTTCTCGTGATTCGCAAAAAAAGACAATTAGAATCCTAGCTAGAACTCAGGTGCTGGTTTTGATTCTCCTAGGTTAGGTGGATATCCAAAAGGGTGCAGGGAAAGATTGCAGGGAGTCTGTGATCTATAATTAAAAATATATATGTAAAAATGTTATATTATTTCCCCTAGCCCTGGGAAGAGAGTTCTTACGTCTTCAACAGATTTTCAAGAGTCCAAGACTCTCTCTGATTTAAGAACTACTGTTTTATATTGAAGATTTTCCAACGGTAATTTCAGTTGGGGGGATGGGGACCTTGGCCTCCCTCAATCATAGGTTCTACAAAGTAAAATATACTGCCTACTGTATCCTGTGCCACAGGGGAGCCTGGCTCTTTGCTTCATGTAACTCAGTGAAAACAATAACTGAGAGGACACAAAAGCAGGCAGGGTGTCTGTAGAGCCGCTGCTGACGTGAGTATGCGGAGCGTGGAGTATGCCTCTCCCTGGGATGGATCCATCCAGTTGAAACCCTGGTCCCAGAAATTGTGGGCCCAAGGCAGTGTTCCGGGAAGATTATATTATTGAAGAGAGAAAACATAAATGAGACCCTTAAAGAGCTTACAGTCTAGTTCAGACTTGCTAAACCTCTTGGAAAGGGAAGTTAGATAAATACAGAGTGAGATTTGGACCCGTCCCATGGAAAGAATGTGCGCTGGCCTGCGGTGGGACAAACCTCTTTCTGCCAGGGCAGGGAAGGATTCTTGAGGGAGAGGTGGTTGTCATAAGACGTCTTGAAAAATGACAAAGATACCAGAATCCCACGGTCCTCTGTCCCGAGTTCCAAATTGGATGTTTGGCTGCAAATTATGGGCATGTTTTGCTGTAAGAAAATCCAATTTTTATAAATAAGCTGATCTCTGAACACAGACAAATTGGGGACGGTGATAATTTACATCAAATAGTACCTACTTTTGATGCCAGATTCCTATGAGGGAAACTTTACGTACTGTATTTCAAGTAACCTTCTGACAACTCTGTGAGAGACGTGCTATTTCGCTCATTTTTCAGATAAGACACCTAAGGCTTAGAAACCTTAAAGCGCTTCTTTGCCGTTACTTCTCTACCGAGTGGCAGAGAGAACCGAGGCTGAAAGCCAGAAGAGGCGATCTCTAAAGGCCGGGCTCTCACAGTCTCCACTAGGTAGCTTCTCAGTGGAGTAGAATCTGATGCTTTGCCAGAAATGTCAAGACCCAAATTCATCTTACACACAACTTGATTTTCAAAAATCAAGGAAGAAAAAGAAATGGATATTTACCTACTATCTCCCGGCTACTATGCCAGGGGACACAAGTTTCTCATTTTGTCAAAAATGAAATTTGATGAAAAATTCAATTCTTGTGGAATATTTTCAAAATACATTTATCAGTTAAATTTAGGTCTGTACATGCAAATTTTCTCTCACCGAGAACTCACAAACTGGTCAAAACTTTCCCAGGGCAGAGGGTGGCTTGTGCTATTTTATCCCCTTTGCCTAGTAGAGTATCTGCTATAGGTCAAAAAGTAATTACTGAATGAAGAAGCAAGTACGAGGATGAACTATTTTGAGGGCAGTGATTAAGAAGTCTTATTCCTTAAAGTGGAAGCAGGACATGGGCACTGGACATGAAGATGTGGGCATAGCTCATTATGCACCAAAAGCGAGCTCACATACAGTAGACTAAGAACAGTGAGAGAGAAAATAAGAAGATGTGGAGACCTCAGTTTTGCAACTTGAAAAACTAGGCTTTGTTTTTCTAATGTTTAATTGTTTCTATTCAGTTTGGGGAAATGAAACTCTTTTACTAGGTGGAACTTCTACCCCAATGAATATAATACCTACCCTTTTCAGAGATCTCAATGAACAAGTCTTGTGATTTTTTTTTTCATTATGGCACTCGGGTCTATATGATATTCAAATATAATCTGTACCTTCTCCCCTTTCTCAGCATGCGTGTGTGTTTGGTAAATATTCATGTGTCAGGGGTCTTTGGTATTGGGGAATTAACATTTCATTTTTTGGTTGGGAGTGCAAATAGTTAATCCAAATGTAATGCTGTTGGTGAATCAGAGCTTGAAAGAATGAACCAGTTTTGAGGACAGAAATCATGGGCTTGAATGGCAGCTTAAGAAAGGGCATTTCTGTTGAGAAGTGTCCTGAAGCAAGTGCTACCAAGGGGAACTATGCCCTTTCCAGACTTGAATGTACACTTAAAGCTGTGGATAACCATCCTTCTTGCGAAATGCAGGGATTTGTGTACTCAGAGACAGAGGGTCCAGATGCTATCTGAAAACTGCTTGCAGGTCTCTGGTGTGGTCAGAGTTCACAGAAGGTAAAGTTATATGGAAAGTTAGCTGCTTCTGGCTTTTAGCTCATTCTCTGCTTGCCCTTGTGTCTTTAGGCTAATACAGAACTGTAGAGTTTGGAGGAGGCAATGCAGTAGGGAAGAAACTTTGTATTCTATTACAAGTTAATTGCTAAAGGGATGTTGCCTATAAACTGAAATTATACATAATGGCATAACTTTGGGAACCCCGCCTCCCACGTAATGAGTGTTAAGCTTTGTTTAGCTCACAGGAAACATCCTGACCAGGCCCACCTGCGAATGAAGGCAGGAAGGAAGAAATTAACACATCTCCTCCAGAGGCTGACCAGAACCAGGAAACATTTGACTTTATTCCCTCCCCTTTTACTAAAAAAGAAGCCTAAATTGTAACTCAGGCAAGATGGTTCTTTGGGACACTAGTCCACCATCTTCTCGGTCGCAGGCTTTCCGCATAAAGTCACTATTCCTCGCCCCAACACCTCGTCTCTTGATTTATTGGCCTGTCATGCAGTGAGCAGTAGCAACTTGGACTCAGCAACAGCAATAATCATCAGGCTCAGAGCTCCTCAAGAAGCTTATCTCACTCCGTGCTCCACAGGTTATAACATGTATCATGATGAGGTTGTTCCAGGGATTGAGCCATCCTTCTTCCCTTCCTTCCTCCCTTCCTATTTATTCACTAATTCATTTGTTCACTTAACAAACATAGATTGAGCCTCTCCTGGAGCCTCATAGAGGTCCCCATCTGGCTGAAAGGAACATAAGAGTAAGCACTCTGAGTCCAGGGTGCATTACAGTGTTAGAGTTATGCACAGCTTAGTTGAGCAGGGCAGAGGGGCACCCGACCACTGGCAGTCAGGGGTAAGGATATTTTCCCAGAGGAAGTCATCTTGAGCCGAGTCTCAATGAGCACAAGAAAAGTTTGCTGGGAACAAAAGAGATGGTCAGGCTGTCCAGGCTGATGGAACGCCATGTGTGAAAGCATGGAGGGGTTGGGGGAGAGGGCAGGCAAGGGAAATAGTGGCAGATGTTGAGAATGGATGTAATCCTGCCTGGACACTGGGTTGTGTATGGAGCCATGATGGGAGATGAGATCAGATATGCATAAGATTTGCTAACATTTATTGAGCACCTGCTATTTTCCAGGTGTTGTTCTAACAGCTTTCTTTGTTGACTTAGTTCATCATTACAACAGCCCTATGAGGTGGGTATTAATATGTCTTTATTTTACAGACTCACGGGGGGCTCAAGTATCTTGCTCAACAGCACACAGCTAGAGAGAAGCCAGCATTCACCCCAGAGTTTGACTCCAGAGCCTGTGGTCTTAATGGCTAGGCCAGGCTGCTGCTCTGATGGACTCAGGTTTGCCTTGACAAGTGACCAGGGAGACTCTTTCCTACCCATTGGTCCAGGTTAGAGTGAAAATTACCATGAGTACGGATAGAGTTTTTTTTTTTTTTTTTTTTTTTTTTTTGCGGTACGCGGGCCTCTCACTGTTGTGGCCTCTCCCGTTGCGGAGCACAGGCTCCGGACGTGCAGGCTCAGCGGCCATAGCTCACGGGCGCAGCCGCTCCGCGGCATGTGGGATCTTCCCAGACCGGGGCACGAACCCTTGTCCCCTGCATCGGCAGGTGGACTCTCAACCACTGCGCCACCAGGGAAGCCCTGGATATAGTTTTCTTATACCAGTTTTTCCTTCCTTAGATCAAAGTTGCTCATGCTGTGTTAATATCACAAGGTCAACGCTGAGGGTAGGGACCATGTCTGTTTTATTCATCAATGCATATTCAGTACCAAGCACAGCATCTGGTACATAGTAAGTACTCACTAGAGATTTATGGAATAAACAATTAATTCATTGATATTTACCTATTAATCTTATTATGAAGAACTGAATTCAGACATATGTTCTCAATTAATTTAACAAGAGCAATGCATTTCACTGAAACCTTGTCACATATCATATATATAATTGGAAATCTGTGAAATAGTCAACCCCAAGACAAAACTTACAGAGATTAATTTCTTCCAAAATTATTAATCAATGGCGTGCGTGTGTGTGTGTTCCACTTGTGTCATATGTATTTGCTTTATTTAATATGTGCATTCTTCAATTTGCAGGTTGTTCAAGCTTCCTACTCCTCTTCCAGTCAACAAATCAAAAGGTGAGTGCTGTGTGCCTATGATTTTCATAGAATCCGTGTTATTTCTTTTGATCATGATCAAAAGTTGACTTCATTAGACTTTGGAGCTGCCAAGGACTGGGTAATACAATTAGGTTATCCCAAGGTCCAGGAATGGAATTTTTCTAGTGACATTAATGCATTGATTGCATCCTATATATTTCAGTGTCTTAAATGAAGTGGCTCTTTCCTTTGCAAGAAGCAAAGAGCACGGTAGAAATAGAGAATTGTATTTTCTGTTTGATCAGCAAGGCAGGCAAGGCCTTATGTGCTCTGTCCGTCAACACTGATAAGCTGAGACATCGGGAGACAGAGGAGGATCTCCAGCTGTTCCACCTACGCTGGATCCCAAGTGCCATCATCCCTCTCAGGAAACTAAGGAAGCCCAAACAGAGAAAGAGGAGTGCCATGAACAATTAATCTTCTGCTCAAATGGGGTTTTAGAAATTATTTGAGTATCCATATATTTTGAACTTCAAGAGACCTTACTTTTCTGGGCTTCCTCCTGGTAGCACAAGAGTACATGTTTTGAACATCTCAGTTGGTGCAGCTTCTCTAGAAAAGCCTTCATCAAAAAGAGCCAAAATTAAAAAAAAACAAACAAACACAAAAAAACAGTCAAAACTAGAACAAGATAACAATATTTTTTTTACCATGAAATAAACATTTTTCTTTGATTTCCTCAGTGTATTTGTGGTTTCAATAGTATTTGATGCATTTTGTCCAATTATGAAAAATATAAATGATTATAACATGATTTATGTGCTTTACTGTTTACAGATATACAAATGTCTATTATAAGATTCATATTTGTTTATTTGGCTCTCATAAGCTCTTTCTAAAATGAGGAGAGGTATCATTATTCTATTTTCACAAATGAGGAGACTGAAGTACAGGGGAGATACTAGGTGAGGGGATTCGTCTAGGGCCACCTCATGAAAAATAATGTAGCCCAAACTTGAACCCAGTTCGGATTCTAAAACCCACCCGCCGCTGATCCATTCTGTGGATAAATCAAGTGAAGTAGGGAAGTTATTATTGAGTGTCCGCCATGGGTTAGGTAATTTCAAACACACTACCTCATCTAGAACCTGCAGGGTAGGAAACTGTTATCAAAGATAAAGAAACTAAGGTTCAGAGGGGACCCATGACTTTGTAGATGCTTAGCAAATGGCTGAGCACTTTCAGTGAGAAATGATAGATAACGCTGGGAAGAGAGGTGTTGTTTCACTGTCAGGTTACTGACATTTCTTGAGAATGCAAAGCCAGGCAGAATATCTCACAAAAGGAAGCTTATTTGTAAAAGGAGAGTTTGGGAACTTTTTTTTTTTTTTTTTGGCTATTTTGAGGAATGTTTTCTTTTCCTTTTCAGCAAGTCTTTATCAGGAACCGTATCTTTGCTCTGTCACCTGCAAACAGACTTTAAAACAATGAGAACCACCCTCTGCAGGATATTGATTCTGATGGAACAAATGTTGATTAAGCAGAATGGTGGCTTTTTTTAACTGGAGGAATTCCAGATCTTTCCTTAGTCCTGTCTCTCCAGGGAAATGAGCTCTGTCCTCAAAAATCTACAGAAAACCTGAGTCAGAATGAAGATTTATGATGGGAGATGCTGGCCGGAAGACGGCTATCTGGTAGGCTATCTAGAAGCTCATCTTTGTGTTATTAGAGAAACACTCTCTCTCTCGACAGGATGTAGCCTGGTTATCACATAATCTTCTCAAGTTTCATTCCCATTCTGCTTACAAATGCCCCAAATATAAAGAGATGCATTTCATTAAGACAGCCTTTTAAGAGGCAGTTTACCCCAGCTGTTGCAGTCTATCTTAAACACCTACCTTTTCACCCTCGTGTGGAATTTACATGTCGATAAGTGCTATAAAAAAGGGAACTTTAGAAATCTCGGCAAAGGAAAAACACCAAGGCTGCCTGTGAGATTTGAAGTCAGAAAAAAAAAAACCCCAGGAAGCTTGACGCTCCAGAACCACTCCCCTTGTCCTCAGACTCGAGACCTGGGACAGGGCTTGCTTGCCCTAGGGCTTGGGGCGGACCCCAAACACCAGGGGCTGTAAACACTTCTCTAGTCACATAAACAGGAGGAGATTCTTTGCCTGCCACTTTGGCATTTTCCTGTCAGGAGCCGGTGACAAAACAGAAGTGATAGATGTAGGTAGAAACAGGAGAACCAGCCTTGGAAGTTTTCGGGCGCCCCCATGAACTCTCTTCCCTCGCACTGCCCGACCCCATCAGTGATGAATCCACAGCACCTGATTTTCCTGCGTGCCTCTCTCCACTTATTTGCACTCCCAGTTGGCTGAGTGGGATTTGCTAGCAAATGACCTGTGACCTTTCTCTCACTCCTGGGTCTGTAAGCACAGAGAGCCAGGGGCTCTTGGGGGGCTACTAAGTCCAGAAGACTTTCAAGGTCGGGGGTCTGGGAGTTAGAATTGAGTGTTCAATGGGGAAAACAGGAGGGTTGGTGCCAGAGCCTTGCCAGTGTCCCGAGCAGCCTATCTTAGCTGATGGGGGTGGGGATGGGGGTCTCCTTTGTTGGAGAGGAAATAAACCTGGGACTCTGGCCCGCCTGATCCTGCAGGATGGGCTGCCGTGTTTGAAGTCAGGACTGGTGGGTTCAGGAAGCTGGCTGCATCGGGTTCCCATTAGCTCAGACAGTAACACAGTGGGTTCACACCGCGACATGGTAACAATTAAGCCTTCTGCTACTGGTTCTTACCCTGGGGTGAGGCTCCTTTCTCCCCCACCCATGTGACTTCAAGTCGCCCTGGTTTCCTTATAGCTCCATTTCCTGCAGATTCCCGTTACTTCATGTCTAATCTTCTGAGACCACTTATTAGACCACACAAATTGCAACAATTGTCTCCAGCACGCAGACCCTGTCCCAGACCTGCAATGCGTCTAGGAGAAATACTGCATCATTCTGAAATGTGAGAGTTACTTCCTGTGTAAATAGTAGGATTATCCAAAATCAGAGTTCATTCAATATTGAGGGAAAATAAACTAATTATACATGCATACCCTGAAGCATGCTAAATTATTCCTCCCCACCCCTGTTATTTAAAAGTCTGGTTGAGACAATTATCTCCATCTTCAATGATGAGACGGGGAAGACACGAACAAATGACTCTAATGTGAAGTGGAAAACTAAAAAGATAAAGTTATGATTTTTTCAAGGAAAATACTTCTATATATAGAAAAAGCCAGGTCATAGAAAAAGCGTTTGGGGTTGAACCTTGAAAAATTGCAAGGATTTGGAAACTTGGAAGTTGGTGGGAAGAAGAAAAGGGCATATTAGGAGAACAAACAAAGGCTTAAACACTGATAGATGCTGTGGGAAGTAAAAGAGTATACAGCCGCCCCTCAGTATTCTCGGGGATCGGTTCCAGGAGCCCCTGCGGGTACCCAAATCTGAGGATGCTCAAGTCCCTTATATCAAATGGCGAAGGACGATGAATACAGTCAACCCTCCGCTGTATCTGCAGTTAGTTGAATCCGCGAATGCAAACCCTGCGGATGCAAGTCCCGAGAGTACGGAGGGCCAACTGTACAAGACAAAGTTCCTGCCTTCAAGAGGCAGGTTTCTAGGGGCAGGACAGGAATAAAGACTCAGATGTAGAGAATGGACTTGAGGACACGGGGAGGGGGAAGGGTAAACTGGGATGAAGTGAGAGAGTGGCATGGACATATATACGCTACCAAACGTAAAATAGATAGCTAGTGGGAAGCAGCCGCATAGCACAGGGAGATCAGCTCACTGCTTTGTGACCACCTAGAGGGGCGGGATATGGAGGGTGGGAGGGAGATGCAAGAGGGAGGAAATATGGGGATATATGTATACGTATAGCTGATTCATTTTGTTATAAAGCAGAAGCTAACACACCATTGTAAAGCGATTATACTCCAATAAAGATGTTAAAAAAGAAAGAGGCAGGTTTCAATTCAGTTAAAGTGAGAAAAGAAACACAGATAAGAAATAATTTAGAGGACAATATAAGGCATGGTATGGGGAAATCACTTCAGATATAGGTAATGTTTAATTGTGGTATGTAAATGATAAGTGCTATTTCAAGTAAGGGAATTGTCAAAGTTCAAAGAAAGAGCTGGGCCAGACTTGAGGAGTGGGATATAGTTAGATGCTTAGGGCTGAAGGAAGGGCATTAATAGGAAGGAAAAATGAATGGAGTGAGAATCAGGCAGGCCATGTGCTGGAGACCAGTGGTTCTCAACCCTCAATGTGTATCAGAATCCTCCACAGGGTGTGTTAACACACGCGTCCCTGGGCTCCACACTGGAGATTCTGATTTAGTAGGTCTGGTGTGGGGTGGGAGGAGTTGCATTTCTAGCAAGTTCCCTGATGCTCCTGGTCTGGGAAATCATCCTTTGAGAAGTACTGCTGTACACCGATCTGCATGCCCGGCACACAAGCACTTATTTGGGGGAAATACTGGGAAATCAGACCATCTGGGGAAATCCACCCAAGAAGTATTAAAAATGAATACGCTGTTAACTCTGTTTTCCTTACTGATGATTCTCCATCTGAGTAGAACAATAAACTTTCTCTTGGTTTGTTTTTTTTTTCCTTTTCCCAGATGGCTTCTTGGTTTAGAATGAATTATTGTGAAAAAAGAAAATAATGCTTTTGTGCCTAGAAACTACTATGGTTGAACCTGGATATCATTTCCTAAAAGACAGTTTTCATGATCCCTTCTACAACAAACATATTTTTAAAATAGCTTTGCCCCTACCGGGAAGTGTGGTCTTTTATGGGATTGGTGTTATGGAGCTTTACATACTGGAAGGCCACTGTCACGGGCAACCCTCTTTAGAATCCAAATATTAAAAATAGTGACCAAAGCTACCTTGCAAAATCATGCATTTTTATTGCTTTTCTTAAGATTTACATCATTTATTGTCTCATATATTATATAAACAGATGTTATAATCCCCATTCCATGATCTTTTTGCTTTTGCATATTTAAATGAAACCTTACCACTGTTGTTTCCCCTTATTTTTACAGAAAAAAATTTAATCCAGGTTAATGTGAAAAAAAAGACTTCTAAATTTTAAAATGTTTAAAAAATGTCTTCCTTCTGTCTGAAATAAAACAATTTCATAATCTTCTTTCTATTGCATGGAGTTAGTTATGAGTTTCTCCTAAATTTTGTTGGCTTGACTGAGGTAGGAATAATTTCCTGTATACCTTACTTAGTAAAAAGTCTCTCTTACATATATTTAAAGATCAAGTTCAGCTTATAATATGCTATACTTTGCAGACAGAAATGTGCAGTGTACTTTCCAATAGTTCTTTTACTCTCTTGACAATTTAAGATAAGAGTTGTGTAGTATGCAAACAATAGTAATTAGACAACATCACCATAAACACAGTTAAGGCATGAATCATATTTATGAAGTACTAAAGTGATACGAATACCAAAAATATATAATGATTATACTGTTCAAATTTTGAATTGAGCAAATAGACAAAATAACTAGGAGGGGAATTTATTTTATAGCAGTGAACAAATTTATCTTTTCTCATGATTTAACACATGAAGGATTACTAAGGTATATCAATTTTAAGATATTTACGTAGAAAATAAATGACATACTTTCATGTAATTAGGGGCTAAAAGTGCTCATTTACTCCTAAAAGTTTAGAAAAGGGAATTTTGCAGAGCAGATAAGAAAGAGGTAGGAATATATTGCATGTGTTCAGAGCTGAAGAGGGCCTTTGAGGGGCCTGCCTGGGAATTCACAGTGACTTGTTGACAGGGTAAGATCAAAACCCTGGATTTGTCAGAATTCCTGACTCCTTGACCAGGACTCTATACTGTGCTAAGGAGGTGCTTCTTTTTAGAAAAGAAATATTTTTTAAAATTTATCCTAGTTTTATTACCACCCCAGCCCGTACATTCAGCAACTTAGTAAAACAATATCTTGAGTGAAAATGAGTTAAGTGCAAGAAAGAAAATTTTATTTCTCCTCTAAATCAATAGTAAAGATGTAATTAAAAAATGTCTTTTCTTGGTCAGGCGTATTTTTCTGTGAAGAATGTGTACTAAGTTGAGATCATGTTTCGTTCGGTTCATGGATGACATCTTGTACACATTTTCGTTTGTGTGTTACTACTAGTGCATTTGTACGTTGTGTTTGTTAGCTGCAGACATGGAATTTTCCAGTACAGTACAGAAAGTGGTCAGTGCCAGGTGTCACTTTGGAGAAAGGAGACTAGATGTTAAATACATTGGTTAATTCATTTAAATTATGGTCCTTTCTCACACTCACCCTGGGAGAACACACTTCTTGTTTACATTGTACTCTCAAAACTATGTTAGAATTCCTCCAGTGTTTGCCCTCAAGCTAGCTGGTGAGTCTCCCCTACCTCCCCAGCC